TCTTGGTGTCCTCCGGCTCTCTCTTTGTGAACTGTTCAAAATAAAAATACAGTATTAAGGCCCGTTCACAGCAAGAACAATAACTGTAAAGTTTATCTAGATGAGTTTGTCTCTTCATGGCAACAGATTTGTAGAAATTTTCAATTTTAAGCATTACGTCACCAAAGAATCCTCTGCAGTGAATGGGTGCCGTCAGAATGAGAGTCCAAACAGCTGATAAAAACATCACAATAATCCACAAGCAATCCACACCACTCCAGTCCATCAATTAACATGATGTTTTTTTTTTCTAGTGAAGCGAATTTTGTTTGTATGAAACAAATCCATCAATTTTTTCAAGTTTTTTTTTTAGGTGGCTAAAATACAGCCCATAATATTGCTTTCTCCAGTGAAAAAGTGGTCTTGTCTGAATCAGGAGAGGAAAATGCACAAATCAAGCACCATTTGTAAGAAAAAAACTGTTCTAAACAAATATGTGGGTGGATTTTGATGTGAGAGACAACAGGGGATGAACCTTTTCACTGGAGGAAGCGTTATTACAGACTACAATTAAGCTAGAAATGATGGTTTAAAACATCATTGTGTTGTTTTTATCAGCTGTTTGGACTTTCATTCTGACGGCACCCATTCACTGCAGAGGATCCATTGGTGAGAAAGTGAATTTCTCCAATTCTGTTTCCCACGAAGAAACAAACAAAAATCTTGGATGGCCTGAGAGTGAGTACATTTTCAGCAAATTGTAATTTTGTAGTGAATTATTCCTTTAAAAAAAACTGTTCTTAATCATGAAATATGAAGTCCACGCCACGGCTGTAACGATAACGACACAGAAGAACAATATCGTTGGAATCAATTTCAGAATGATTTTTCCACAATTTTTTCAACAAATGCAGCTCACGCCTATAATCAACAGATTCTTCTGGACATTACCAAAAAGTAACAGATAAAAAGAAAAAAAAAAAAACAATGTCAAGGTTTCAAGTTAACATTGGAAATGCTGTGAGTTTCTGGAATCCCACCATGTAGAAGCGGTTCTTCTTGAAGGCGGTGCAGAAGATGGTGGGGTCTGGATCAGTGCTCTGCAGCGCTGGGTTCTCAGAGGCCTTCATCTCAATGGTTGGTGCTGCTTGCATGGCCTTCGCTACTCCCTGAAACAGACTCAGCTGCACCACACGGATGTTCTCTTGTTTGCCCAGGATCCGCACACACCTTGACAGCAAAAACATTTCAGACACACAGTAAAAGAGAGATACTTTCAGAACTGCTGAAAAGATTCATATTAACATTTTCTCGTTCTCGGTCTCGTTCTGTATCGCGTATATTGTCAGTGTCTGCGCTTGCTTGGCCATTTGTTGCGGATGAAAATAAGGAAAGTGTGTTCAAGCGCCAGCAGAAAACAGTGTAAAGAAATAGTCTTTGAGAGAAGCAGTCTTTATCAGCGGAAGTTAAAAGCAGCTCGTAAGTGTATTTACTTGTCTCATTAGTGTTTAGTGCAGTTGTCGTTGCTAGGAAACGCTTGTTTTGTTTACTGCGTGGAGACGTGCTGATATCGCGTTTGGTCTCGTTCTGTATCGCGTATCTTGTCAGTGTCTGCGCTTGCTTGGCCATTTGTTGTGGAGAAAATAAGGAAAGTGTGTCCAGCTGAATTAATTTAGTATTTTGTTA